AAGCCATGCAGCTTACTTCTGGCTTCTTGTTTAGCTCGTAGATATACAAACATACATCTAAACAGCGATTTTCCTGTTGTGACTCTTTCTCGCAGTCTGCTATCATGATTTGGTGAACTGTGTTCTTTGTAGTTTCGTAATGGACCTCTAAAATATCAGGTAATTCGCTGCTTACCATAATCTCGTCTTGGGTCCTGGACCGGAATCCTTGTGTTAGCATTAGGGTCTTATGTACACTATCCGGTTTGAAGGACCAAATGTAGCGTTATGGTTATCAATTAAAATTTTCTCCAAAATTGAAAACATTAAGACACAAAATATTCTCTTATATGAATTTCCTAAACGTGTACAAGAACAAATTCCGAGTCAATAATGATCGATTAAACTAATTACTTATGTCATAGCCATTTTCCACATTTCGCTTAAAAATTCGTACTGGTGTTGCCAAGTATAGGTAAGAAAAAATATAGGAACGCTTACCTGGAATCAAACGGAACGCCGACGCCAAGAAGTGAGGTCAATTCTCGCATCCAGTCCTAAAATCAAACAAAGAAAAATCTCCCAAGCCACAGAGCTCGGTATACAGTTACTTGATTAATGCCTGAAGGGTCTCGCTCTACTCGTAATCTGCTTCTAACCGAGTACGTTGCTTAATTCGCCCACCCATTCAGAAGGAAGTAGTGGACTCCAACAACATTCTCGTTTCAAACTCGATCATAACTCAACAGAGATTACAGGGATACCGATCAGATATGGATGTTCACAAATTAATTAAAATAAGTCCATATAACCCTGAAGGGGCAAAATAGTTATCAACAGCCCATTTAGAAATGGGAAATATTTCTTTACAAAAGGTTCTACCCATGGATCTAGGTAAAACCTCAAGAATTTTAAAACTGTATGTAGTGGAATAGGAAAAAAACCATTAAGGGACCTTTTCACATTTTATTGATCATATTAAAAAATATCCATGAGCATTTTCGCAAATGGGAAAAACTAGATGTTGTATTCCTTTTTGACTAATCTGACCGGTTGGTTGCCGACTCATAAGACGCCAACGATCCACGTTTATTCTAGGTATAGCTTTTTCTCGGTATATACCTGCAATGTAGAATCGGTCCTTAGACGCCAAAATAGCAAACTTAGGTTAACCTTTCGTTTCCATTGAAACAATATTGTGTTAGGTACTGTAGTCCATTTTATTTCGTGCACCGCGTCCCATTTTCAATACGAACGACACATGCCAAACAAACAAACTTGCTTGTGAAGGGTTAGAGGTTTGACTAGAGTTATGGCTGACACCCTCTAATAAAATAACTAGTGAAAGTTTATACTTTGGGCCAACCCAGTTCTACATAACCATTCGTTTATTGTTGTAATGTTTGTGATACTTGGGTATTTCATATAGAAGCCATTAAAACCATTAAAAATCTGAAATCTGAGTTTGTTAATTATGGAGACAATAAATTAAATCCTCATTTTTAACGCATACTAAATCAGCGAAACGACAAAAAGTATGAAATCATTTTCCGACTGAAATTTCAAAATATATGTAACAAAAGTTTTTTCAAACAGAAATTGTAAAGCCGGCTTCTTGTTAGACAGCACCTTGAAATATAAAATCTCTCAACAGAAAAAAATTCTAAGAAAAAATGTAACAAGAAAGTACTTTGCGTATTATTTGACGAAAAATTTTTTCTTTCATGACTTTAAAGTATTAACTTATAAAATTTGTATCAAAGCATTTTGTTTAAACGTGCCCCAATAACTTTCTTATTTCAAAGCAGTCGAAGTTGTCTATAGAGAATTAGGAAACTAACTTTACCGAGAAATTTCTTTTAAATTAAAATCCATAAAACTGACACACGCAAGTTTCCGAATTTCCAATATCTCTCGAGACTTTGGGAGGCACAAAAAGAAGTTATTTTCTAATCGGAATCGGAATGATGTATCTGAAAAAGACATACCACTAACATACGGGGAAACAGCGAATTACAATCGTCCGCGCGAGTTACTCTTTAACCCTACTGGAGTGTGGAACGAAAATCTGAAAGGGGCCCAGCGCAAACGGAACGTGGTCAGTGTTGATTTTACAATGTACATAAATTTTCTCTAGAAATAAATGCTTATTAATGTGGGAACGGAAATGTGCCAAGCCTGAAACGAATGGAAAATTTTTTATGATTTTAAAATTTCAGGAACACGCTACCGTTACAGTATCTTCGAGCTTTTAGTTAATTCCTTTGGGATGCGAATTACTGATTCAGTAATCGAGTACACCAACTAAAATGTGCAGCTGTTACGATGTATTTTCCTTTAATTAAGGATTTATTTCACGTAATTTATGCACAAGTAATAATTTACGAAATTTTATAATATACAACCTCTGCGATTGACTAATGGGTTATATTTTCATTGTAATTTAATTATTGTTTCCACAAATACGGTCAAATAATGTAATTACATTTGGATTGTGTTTCAAAATACGTACAAAAGTGGAATATGTCTGCAATGCGTCGCGTTTTGGTGGATCTTTGCGAAGCCTAAATGTCGCTAGTTTAAAAATTAATGTCCCCTTAATTAGCTTCATAATAAACAACTCTGTTGGGAGTAGCAAAAGTCTAAGGGACGATGTGCCGGAAACGCTTTCCCTAAATGTCTCTCGTTATTCGACAGCGATAAAAGTCCTTTGCTCGCGTTTAATCCCTTTATTGTTTTTGGTACGCCCTTACACATTTTATTAATCAGATCGATTTTCAATTGTCCGCGCCGTTTAAGGGAAAATGTTCGTTTCGAAATTCACTTTCTTTTCTTCGCTGCAGTTTGTAGAAATCGATTGAAATTTAATTGCGGTACGCGATAGAGTTATCGAACAGATTCGGGTCATTCGATACGTTTGCAATTTGTTCGGCCAATACTGAAATGCAGCTTAAGTGGTTTCGGCTTTTGCTTGAAAGTTTAATCGAATAAGATTTCATTAGTTCTCCAACTTCATTTATTTTGAACCGTTTCTCTTAAGTTTTTTTATACGTAATTGTAAACTTTCCTCGTGTCTGTCGGTTTGTTATGTGCGCCAGTCTCTAACTCTAAGTAAAGTTCGAGATTAATTTCACAACATAAACAATTATCGGGTAGCATGTTAAAGTGATAAAGTTGGAGGAGAACGCATTATGCTAGCGGTTGAGCAACAGCTCTCATTTGAGAGTAATCATTATTAGTGTTAGTTTAATTTACAATTTCCTGGACTAGGACAACTATTCTCGTTGAGAAAAGAACTTTATGAAAATTTGAAGAGTAACGTGATAAGAACAATGACTTTTAGACCAAATTTAAGGGGAACAATTCGAGGAAAGCATGAGGAAAGTTATTGTAATTGAGAACAATTTGAGGATTTTGAGAGCGGCTTACGAGGAATTTGAGAGGGTATCAGGGTAATTAAAGGAAGAAGTCGAGGACAATTTAAGGCAGAAGTTGATATGGGAATTTGAGAGGATCTAAAGCAGAATTTAAAAGAAGCTCAAGAAATAAAGAGGACAATTTAATGGCGGCTTGTAGGGTAATTGCGTAAGGCTTGGAGGAATTTGAGAGGAGTATTTCGGAGGAATTTAAAGAAGAGTGGAAAAAACACGAGGGGGAATTTTGGGAGAACAATTAATTTGATGGGCGTTTGAGAACCTGGGAGCCCATAAGTTTCTAATTATTCCTACGTGCAGGTCACAAGAAAAATGCTTCTTTTGGTCTACAAATAATTAATTTGAAATTCAAATATTCTTGGGCTGTCTCGAACATCCCATACATAATGCAATGCGGTTCAAATCTTTAATTTTTTAAAAGCAAAGTTTTGGAAACATTTTTGACAAATCAGATTTAGTGGGCTGTGCCGACATTTTTATTATAAATAAATACAGGGGGTTCAAAGCTAACATTCAAAATTGAACATAGGCTCTAGCAAAAAAAAAAGAAATTAAATTTCGAGAATGAATAAAAATTGAGTGTTGTAAGGTATAGTAGGGGTACGGACACGAAAATATACGTCAAATGTGCAGTATTTATTTAGAAGAGCGGCGCCGAAACTTATGACTGTTCCGACTGTCTAATAGAACAGACCTCGGAACAGACTGTACAGAACTGTACCATTTAAAAAAATGTGAATATTTTTTGGAGCTGCATTTGCACCTCCACGCCGCGCTGCTATGCTATGAGGAATCGGCCTTATTTAATTAATATTGGCACCAGCCGTCTTATGTTACAAATTCTCTCCCTAATTCCAATTTTTTCGGGAATGTGTGGTTGAAAGTCCCCTGATCATTGTGTAATAAAGTTTCGATTTCGGTGCCGCCGGGGGGAGGGGAGGGGGTTGAAGGTACAGTTTTGCGGTTTTTAGCATAATATATATAAAAAATTGCGGGTCGTAGAAAAACGTTTTTTTAATCTAAATCGAAAGCTCATAAAATTTTCTACAACATTTTCATTTTCCAAAAACCGCATTGGCTTCCAGCTACGAGCCTTTGACAGTGAGCAATTGTCAAAAAACTCCAAAGAAGTACATATTACTTGGTATAGTTTGTTGCCTAAAATCTACACCAAATAATGTTTCCATTAGTCCTTTTAGGCTTACATTTGGGGCAATTGCCTGCAGTACGTTCGGGAGTACCACATCCATAACATTTTAAAGTAGTAGACACAGATAGCCGCATTACAGTTAAAAACTGGTGCTTGAAAATGTGTATTTCTACCTCAATACAATACCTCCTTACTAACGTGCGAGTAGTAAATAGGGCACTTTGTTGTTCACGTTCGTAGTTGGTAGGTATGTATTAAAAGTTCAATTGTTACACCCAAACGATGTAGAGTTAACTGAGCCTTTATATCATATCGAGTCCAACAAAATCTGTCAGTCAGTCATTTATTATTAACCCTCATATATGAGTTTATAATATAAAAATTATATAGTGTATCAGAAACTTAATAAATAATAGCATTTTTTTTTGTTTCAGCAGGATTTGAAGAAAACTACCTACAAAGATGTAAGTAACGTTTGAAGTCACCCTAGTTTTTCCTAGACTAAACATAAATGCTCAAGTTCAACTGTCGCAGAAATATGCGCTTCGGGATAATTTTTCCTCGAAAAACTAACCCTCTCAATGTTTACCTCTAAGATATTTGTCCAATTGAGTCCAATTAGTACGATATCGTTTGACTGCGTGATGCTACAAAAACTGATAGTCTATTGTGTATAACTAAAAAATATTTTTAAATATACAGGGTGTTCTACAAATATTGTATTGTAAATAGAACACTATATTTTATTACAATGAGGGACTGTTCTAAAAATTGTGCATTCTTTTTATTAAACATAATGTTTTTTTCTAAATTTTTGGAAAAATTTAATAATCTTTCAAAAATCACTGTTTGCAGATGTCTACAAAAACAGACATACATCATCATTTATTTATTATTAATTATTTTTGAATCTTTTTCGATATTGCCCTAATTTCTTCCTTAAAATCAATTGACTTATGCACATTTCATATTTCTTTCGTTGTCTAGGGAAACAACCTTTGCATTAAAATGATTCATGTCGAAAATACAGAATTACGTCAAAGTGGGTACTTATACATTAGCAGTTATTTGACAGTCAAGCAGTTTGTTTGTTTGATAGCATCATCATAGCTAGGTAAATAAATAAAGAATTCACAGATTTCGAAATCCATGCAACAATCGGAGACATTTGCAATGACATAACGAACTATGTAAAACACAAATAACTCTTATTCAATCGGGTCACTTATTCCACTCGCTCGCAAGCTCGCTCGTGTTGCCCTGTGACCCATCATAACATGGCCGTAATATTATCAAAGGAGACGTGCGGGAATTTTAGATTGGAATTAACAGAACAATTTAGCACTTCTAAGTGTCGACAGTATCCGCGACTTTTGCTTCACCTATCGATCATAGTCGAGTACGGTCGCTAGACGCGACACCGTTGACTTTTCTGTTTGAACGGAACTCGTCACTTTGTACCCATGTACCACATACTGAGTTTTTCATTACCTTTAAACTAAGATCTCTTTTCTGAATTATGTAACACTAATCAAAACACATACATGACGTCTCCACCCTTATTTATAATAAGTGTCGGTGAGAAAAATCGATGTTTACTGTATTAAAGTCGGGTAAAGTTTCCCTACTAAAAATACAGACAAATTTTTCTACCTGCGAGCATCGCCGATCCTGTAATTCAACACTACCCACATATACGTCCCTTAGGAGACATACTCCGAAAGTTTATCGGCCAGAATGGCTTTCTACAATTGTTCTTAATACGAGAAATGGTTTTCGATATTAAAAGTGCTCGTTGATATTTATTTATATTGAATGAAGTTACAAAATTGTATTTCTGAATGTTGTATGATGTAAACTGAAGCATAAAACTCTCATTCCCCCCGCGGTTCAATTGTAACGTTTAGTTACATAATTAAATTCTCAATATTAACAGTGAATTTTCACTATAAAAAACTTTTGGAACGGATTGAACGTCTTCTATTTCATTTATTTTAAATTAACACCGGACGATTCATTTTTATTTTAATTTACACGCTCAGATTTTGACGTGGACTTGATCTGGCACAACGTCAATTCACATTTATATAAAAACCCACACGCATTTGTTTCCATAAACTATCAATGATAGCAATATTAGTGATCAATAATAGAGGAACAAATTTTATTTCTAGTGTAAAAAGCGCACTTTCTAAATTGAAATTTAATTATTTGTACAACGAAACGAATATTGTTATAAATGGAACTGAAACTGATCCTGTATCGGTTTAAAATCTCAAAGGTCGCGCATCCATTATTGGTAACGTACCGAGTAACTTTGTTCAAATAGAAACTTTATCTCTTCGTAATGAAAATCGTGTAATATAAATTTTCATAATTTGAATTGATCAAATTCAAATAAGAATCTTAGAGGAAATTACTTTTCGCTTGGCAACGGCACAGCTCCCGATTAAAATTTTAATTATTCGTATAAATTTATCCGAGTTTCCTTTTGTGGTTTTAGTCTTTTGTTTTTGAGATCTCCTGCAATACGAACGGATATTTTTATCGGAGAAAAAAACCTCCTGCGTGAATCTTTTATGAGATTATCTGATTTTGCGTGATATTATTATTCTTTTCAAGGAAAATCTGGAATTCTGACGCTTACTACGTAAGTACGTGCTTTTTCAGTTGTCCTGGAAAAAAGTTCCGGATACAAAAATGACAAGCTTTTATTAGAAGTATTTTTACCTGACGGTGATCGAAATACGTGAGTACGGAATAACGTTGGAAAGAACGGACATGACGTCTCTCAACTCGTATATTATATTAGATATCACGTTGTGCACTCTCTTTCTAGGGTATTCAATTGATCAATACATTTATATTGTGTGTATTCTGGATGGAAGACAAAATTAATTTATTGATACTGGGTATCTAGTTCAGTGTCTAGTGTTTACGACATTGCTCGTCCTATAAAGTCATTTATGTCTAACCTCATCTACCTCTCTCTTATCCGGAAAGTAAATTATCAGCAATCGTGGATAGTTATCTTCTAGATATCAGCAGAATCTGTTGACCAAGTTCTTTATACAACTAGTGATTTACTGTGATGTGAAAACTATCTTTAAAATGAAGTATGGCGAAGGGTAGGTACTTACAACGGGAAAATGTGCGCCAGGTAGCCATAAAATGTTTATGTATAAAGAGCTTTCCTCCTCCCTTATTTACCAAGAAGCTAAAGACGAATAATAATTGCGTGCAACTTACTATTTTTGTTTTTCATATATGCACTTTATCTGCGCACTTTATACTTATTATAATAATTTTTCCAGTTCTTCGAGTGCTATCGATCCATAAAATCCATAACATTTCTTGCGATTCTTATGATTCTGCACATTCTTTAGAACTATAAGATTCTCTAGATTGTGAAGATTTTTAAGATCCATTAGTGTCTTCGAATCCGTTCGTTTCTTCGGATTCTTGTCTTTTCTGATCCTTCATTTTTTATTTTTTTAATCCTTCCCATTCTTAAATTTCTTCAAATTTTCGAAATATTTCAGATATATAGGGTAGGTCAGGTTCTTAAGATTCTTCCGAGTCCAGATTTTTTCAATTTTTTTGTCTCTTAGAAGACCTAGCGATGCTTATCTATTTGGATATTTCTGATTCTTCAGTATCTTCAGGTCCTTTCTATTGTTCTAGATTCTTCAGTTACTTTCAATTTTTCAGACTTTCAAGATTTTTTTATTGTAGTAGATCCATAATTCAAACTCTTGAGATTATTTAGTTTTTTTTTTCAATTCATCTGGAGCCTACGAGCTCATCTGATGCTTCGAAGTTTTCAGATTATTCGTACTCTTCTGATCTTTAGGTTTTCTCTGATTCTTGAAATTTTTTGGTTGCTCCTCTTGCGTTTCTTCGGATCCACTCGGTTCTTTGGTTTGTTCAGATTCATCAGATCTCAGATGCGTCGGAATGTTCAAAATCTTCGGATTTTGAATCTTTCCATTTTTCAGTTTTCTTCGGATTGTGTATGCTGAAATTCTGCAGATTTTTATTATTTTACGACTTCTTCGGTTTCTTCCGATCGTAAAATTGGATTATTACCTATTTAGATCTTTCTAATCTTTCCAGATTTTTAAGTTGCTTTGAATTTTTCAGTCCTTCAAGAAATTTTATTGTAGTAAATTCATAATTCTTCCGAGCGTAAAATTCTTACGATTTTTATACACTTTTTAGAATCTATGAGATTTTCTACATTGAGAATTGTAAGATTCATTAGTTTCCTCGGATCGATCGTTCGTTTTTTCGGTCTCTTCGTTTTGACTTTCTTGATACTTCACATTCGTTCTTGAGTTTATTTCGGTTGACCAGGTTCAAATTCTTCGAATTTTTGAAAATAGTTTTTTTCTTCAGATCCTTCCCATTCTCCAGTTTCAGTTAGGAATCAATTTTTTAGTGTCTTCAAATTCTTTCAGATGTTTCACATTTTTTAGATCCATAAGGTACTTCAGGTTAAATATGTTTTTTTGACTTATTCAGTTGCATTCTATTCCTTTAGATTTTTCGATACCTCAGATTATTATGTCCATGAACTTGGCAGGCCTATTACAGCAGACCATAGTTCTACTTACTCATATCGTTAGTGCTCCGTTAGTGCACGTTAGTGCCGCTGAAGAAATCGTTAGTGCATAAAAGGAAACTTACTATTTTTAAAAAATATTTGTGGGCCTGCTAACTTCATGCCAGCAGACCCATTTGAGAAAATCGATTCAATCTTTGCACTAGTTAAACTAGCAGCGTTAGTGCTCGTTAGGGCCGCCAATATAAACGTTAGTGCTCAAAGTGCAACAGCTCAAAACGTCGTAAAAAGGGGTCTGCTAACTTCATGCAGCTGACCCACATTTGTCAAATTGGCTCAGTCCTAATGCAAATTTGAAGCGGCTCGTTAGTGCTCGTTAGTGCTTCACATGCGAACGTTAGTGCTGCAAGGGATCCGCGTCAAAAAGGTACCAAACCACCTCAAAATTAAACTTGACTTATTGGGACCTGCCAACTTCACGCCAGTAGACCAACGAGTGAAATCCGTTTGATTTTCTACTTTAATCGACCGGTAAGTATTAGTGCTCGTTAGTGCCGCCAATATAAACGTTAGTGCTCAAAGTGTAACAGCTCAAAACGTTGTAAAAAGGGGTCTGCTAATTTCATGCAGCAGACGCACATTTGTCAATTTGGCCCTGTCCTAATGCGAATTTAAAGCGGCTCGTTAGTGCTTCACTTTCGAACGTTAGTGCTGCAAGAGATCCTCGCCAAAAAGGTACCAAACCACCTCAAAATGAAACGTGGCTTATTGGGACCTGCCAATTTCACGCCGGTAGACCAACAAACGAAATCCGTTTAATTTTCTACTTTAATCGATCTATTAGTATTCGTGATCGTTAGCGTCGAAAAAAAAGCGTTAGTGCTCAAAGCGCAACAGCTC